CCTACTTTGTAAGGCACCTGCGTGGCCTAAAGCAGGGGTGGGGAACGTCCAGCCCCCGGGGCAGTATAAGGCCTACAAAACCATTTGGTCTGGCTCTCCAAGGCATCAGGGGTGAGTTAACTAAATGTTTGACCAAATATAGCAAGTTGATCATTGGGTGTGGCCCGAGAAAGATGTTATCAATATCCAAATGGCCCTTGGCAGACAAAAGGTTCCCCACCCCTGACCTAAAGGAACAAGGATCAACCTAGTTTAACCCGGGTTGATGGAACCATTTGCAGACCACTCCTCCTCGGCAGCGGCCCTGGGACCCTTCAGTCCACAGACCAACGCGCTATCCACTGAGCCAAATCTGTTTCGGCTGAGGGTGTTCTTAATGTCTAGGTAACAAACCATAAGTTCATCCCCCCCCCCCCCCCGCCCCTAAATGGTTCCATATATGGAATGTGCATTGTTAGACAGTAGGAAATACCATAACGGAGAGATTTCATTAAGTAATGAGAAGTGATTAAACCGTCTTTCTTGTTTTTTCCTGCTATTGCCCCCAGTCAGCAGCCATAGAAATCTATCATGTACATTTATTTTATTAGAGTCTTTAGCCAAAAGAAAGACAAAAGCACTGCTGGCCTAGAAACAAGAACAGGTCTTGACTCAGTGATTGCTCTGTGCCCCGTGCTGGCCAAGCGAGCTTGTGGCGAGCCTGATTCTAGACTGTTTGACTCAGACCAGCAGCTAAGTCCAGGTGACCTGTTAATGATGCTAGAAACGTCAGACCACTCCACTAGGCTGATTCGGTACCAAGAACAGGCACAATTGTACTCAAGTAAACAGACTCTTGTGACTGAGTTGAGATTTGAGTTCAGACTTTTTTTTTTAATATATATATTTTATTGATTTTTTTTACAGAGAGGAGGAGAGAGGGATAAAGAGCTAGAAACATCAATGAGAGAGAAACATCGACCAGCTGCCTCTTGCACACTTCCTACCAGGGATGTGCCCACAACCAATGTGCATGTCCCTGACCAGAATCGAACCTGGGACCTTTCAGTCCACAGACCAGCGCTCTACCACTGAGCCAAACCGGTTTGGGCTGAGTTCAGACTTAAGACTCACCCTACGCGTGACGTCCACTTTCTAAGATAGCAATCCTGTTGACACAGGTGAATAAAGATTTTTTTTTTAAAGTGCTGACTGCAGTATTCCAGCCAGTAAACAGTGCTGAATTCCGCAGCGGAACAGTTTGCCAACCTCTGCCCGGCAGTGCACACCTTTGGAATGCACACCTGCCAGAGATTGGAAAACTTCCTGAGCGATGTCTGGGCACTCGGATTTTCTCTTGCTGCGACTTTAGACATTTCATTTTCCATCATGTAGTTCCGGGTGCAATGGTTGCAACGAGACCTAAGCTCTCTGGTTGTTTCAGTCTTTTTTTTTTCCTACAACACTATATTTACATTTGACGTAAACAAAACCTTTGCCATTATTGTTTAGCAGTAATCAGTGTTAACTAGTAATACTTAGGAAAGTCTTTCCCTGGAAACCAAAATTCCGAGAAATCTGCAAAAGGAAGGATTGCAGGGGAGCCCCAGGCTCTCTCGGCTGAGTCTGGGTGTTCATACCTCCCTCCTGCTGTCCTAGAGAAGGTTGGAGCCCATGTGGGTGACACTCCCTGCTGGGCCTGGGCTGTGGGAGACAGTGATAAGACCACATGATATGAAGTCTTAGTGGGCGGAGCATTGTTGGGCCCTGCCACGTCCCCATATACTGTAAGTCACATGTGTCAAACACAAGGCCTGCGGGCCAAATCCGTCCCTCCAGGCCTTGCAATGTGGCCCGCACCGCGCTGTCATCACTGCACTCTGCTGCGTTTCCATCACAATGACAGTTTATGACTGTTCAGTAAACCATTCGGCCCGCGATTTAGGCTGGATTTTAGATTTTGGCCCCTTCTCTGATTGAGTTCGACCAGGCACCACTGCAATGAAGCTGGACCCTGAATACTGCCAGGGGGCTTTACAAGAGCACAGGTCCTTTCATTTCCCTGGGGGGTGTCGCTCTCCCCAGTCTGGGGGTGAAATCTGACTTGTGGGCTGTGTCAGTCATGGTCCCATCAGGAAACAAATGGCACACTCAAAATAGGAGCACTTGTTTAAAAAAGACTAATTAGGAAAGACTGATTATGGGAACCAGACATGATAGTGCAGGAACCCCAAGTCCCAACCCCATTGCTACCACCCCTGGAAAGTGGTATAAAACAGTGACCAAGCCCTGGGAGGAGAGAGCCGCATGGAAAGTGTCAGCTTCAGAGGAGCTGTATCGGTCACTTGAGGACAGAGCAGTCTCAGGTGACCTTTTCGGGAAGGAACCAGGAAAAGGGACACCTGACCTTCTGATCTCCTGCCAGTACTCCTCACTGGCCAAACCATATGGGGAATTGGGTGGACAAGGGGAACACTGATGGAATCCATGCAGGTCAGCCTCATGGGCAGAGGGTGATAGCAGGCCTGGAGGGGCCAATAGAACTAGCGAGTGGCAGAGCCAGAATTGGAACATGGTGCTTGATGACCGATACCACTGGTTCTTTGGGGGACATATTCATTCCACAAACATTTAATGTCCCCTCTGGAGAGCAGTGTGCGAGGTGCTGAGGATGCCTAGGTAGTAGCATCTCCCTCTGAATGCTGCGTCAAGCTCTGGCTGGGGCTTTCACGCGGGGCATGCACAGCGGTCCTGTGAGGTGGGTGGCCTTTATCTGCCTCTGATCGGCAGCCAGTCTGAGGAAAGATGGGCTCACCCAGAGTCACAGCTGGAAAGCAACAGGACAGAGATTCAATCCCATGTCTGGCCCCATGCCCGCGTTCTTCACATGATGCTCCTCAGAGCAGCCCATCCCCACAAGGAAGTCTAACTGGAGAGAGAAAAAAACCAAAGAGTTTTTAGGGTTGAAGAATCTCCTTGCAGAACTTTTATGGGTAAGAAGAGCTCGGAATCGGAGTCCCGTGAGACCAGACAGTTTATTTCCCTCCTTGGGACAAGGACTGAAATAGCATCACTGTTCTTACGGGGGCAAAAGTGAGATCGTCTGGTGTGTGGCCATGCTGCGCTGGAGAAGAGCCAATGCTCACAGACAGCATGACCAGAATCGGGAAGGAAGGCCCTGCCGGATGAGCAGGTGAAGGCCGGAAACACCACGCGGGTCTGGGCCAAGAGCAGAGTCCCTCAGGCAGAGTTCACAGTTTTGTTTCTTGTGGGATGGGCCCTGGGTTTGCACATAATGAAAACACAAAGTGGCAGATGGGAGAGGAAGGGCCCCAATGAGGAACCGTGTGAGAGCCTGAGGTGGGGAGGCTTGGTGGAGACATCTGTGTGCTGAGCAGCTTCTATATTCAGTTCCTGCTCCGAACTGGCACGAAGGATCTGTCTGGGTCTCAGGGCCAGAGAAGTGGCAAAACGTATTTATGTAGATCAATCGGGCAACTCAACATCACAGCTCACCTGTGGTTCTCAAAGTGGGATTCCTGGACCTGAGTAGCCACATCACCTTAGAAATGCAAACTCAATGGGCCATCCCAGACCTACAGAGATGGCAACTCTGGGCATGGGTTCCAGCAACCAGTTCTCATAAGCCCTCAGGGTCATGCTGAGGCACACTTCAGTTTGAGAACTACTCCTGGGGGGTCACTGATTCCTAATAGAGGAGGAGGGACTGTTTAGGGGACCCTAATAAGCAAAGAACTCTAAGATGTGGTCAATGGGGGCTCAGAGGAGGAGGGAGATGATCCCCCATGGAGATGATCACATGTCACAGACACAGACCTCTTTCTGTACTAACACTGGGCAATGCATTAGTATATAAAGAAGCAGGAGGAAATGTAAAGACTTGAGATAAGACTATGGGTTAAGTCTTGTCAAAATTCAGAGGAGACAGAGGAGCTGGGCAACAGGGATGAAGGCACTACGTTTAGAAGATGGTCAATAGCATGTGGTTTGTGCCAACTCACTTGGATTCTGACCTTTTGTCTTTTTGCACTTCTACCAATGGGCCCTGCTCCGGTAGGTATTGAGAAAGTAGAGATGGGACAGCACATGATTCTTCCGCTAAAGGGGAGGCGGAAATATAAGCTGTTGTTGCATTGTGGCAGCATAGGAGGTCAGAGAAGGCTTCATGAAGGGAAGGAGGACATACAAGGAGCATTCCTGGCAAAGGATTTGCTGTTTTGTGCATGAAGAACTTTGGGTGGGGACACACCTGTTCAGTGATCAAATGGTTGGGTATTGTGGGAGCCCTCTCTGCCTGGGGAAGGGGCTGAAAGGAGGGGGGGCCCAGGTAACAAGAATGCTGGTTGAACCCTCACTGCTGACCTTGTGAGATAGTAAAGAAGATGCTTCCACGCCCAGCACCTGCCTTGGGATCCCCATGCATGCTGGTGAGGCCCCAGCACTGATCATATTTCTTGGGGAACCCAGGTTTCTTCTCCAGGGAGGGCCCAGCTCACCCCTCTGGGCGAGAGACAGATCCATGGTACCAGCCACCATGAGGCTTCACCCTCGACATGAAGTGAAAGCTCAGGCAACAGCTGTGGGCAAGTGGACTGCGAGAAGAGGGTCCCTCTTTGGCCAAAAGGGCAAGAGGGGCCAATATAGAATGCTCAGGTGCCTTCCTAGGGGGCCCTCTACACTAAAAGTCTGGATTTTATCCTGTGGGCAGTGGGCAAATTTGAAGTGTTTTAAGGAGGAAATGGGATTGGCACCATTCTCTGTGCCTCTGGTTCTCTATTCTGACCCACAGGAGAGTTGTCTGGAGCTAATTAAGAGCAGATGCAGCTGCCAGGCCCGACTCTGCACAAGAGGTGTGGCTAGGACTGGGATCCTGGAAGTGGCTGCAGGGGTTTGGCCAACACATCTGACTGCCAGGAAAAGTCACAGGGTCTGAGTTTAGACTCAGCAGAAAGCATTTTAATTATTTGACTTTAATAGTGGCATTTTTGTTTTTCTTTCAGGGTTGTCCAAATCACATGTAAGTATCCCTTTTTCTTTTCTGTGTAGCTTCACCTTATAAACTCTAGTCTGTTTTGCTCCAAAATGTTTACATTTGTGCTTCATTCACTTAACAAATGTGAGTCATGCATCCATCATTCGTGAGAGGGCAGTCCCGAGTTTCTACGAGACTTTCCTTCTCTTTAGGAAATGCTTTGTGCAGCCCTTCTCAGACTAACAGAACTAGACGCTTCATTTCATCGTTGTCTCTGTGTGGAGTGTAGGAGAATAAAAAAAATTTTAATTGTAAGATTCTACCTCTGGATAGTCACTGACAACTGACTCGATAGGCACAGGTTGCTTTTCATGCCATTGGCACTCGTTTGTGAAAATGGGCCGACAAGGAGCATATTTTAACCCTGGACCGTTGTTGTTTTGTCAGAGTTGCTTTGGTTACCCCCTGAGCATCTTCTTCATCGTCATCAATGAGTTCTGCGAAAGATTTTCCTACTATGGCATGAAAGGTAACTATCCTCGACACCCACCCTCTTGCGTGCTGAGCGTCAGTTGCCACGGCCACTCCTAACTGTGGTTTCCCTCCCCTGCCCTGTCTGCCACGGAAAGCACTCCTGATCCTGTACTTCACACGGTTCTTCAAATGGGACGACGACCTGTCTACCGCCATCTACCACACCTTCGTGGCTCTCTGCTACCTGACGCCCATTCTCGGCGCTCTCATTGCCGACTCCTGGCTGGGAAAATTCTCGTGAGTAGTTGCAACTTCCTTGTTCCCAGGCAAGCCAAAAAGTAATTATTAGCTTAGAGGTTTGAAATGATGGGTTCTGGGGGCAAAGAATCGGGAACCTAAAACTCTTAGGAGAGCATGCTAGACCCTGTTTCTGCTCATCAGCGCCCCCCCCCCAAGCGTGGCACAGTGCCTGGCATTTAACAGTGAGTGCAAGTGGCATTTGTAGGTTCCCCTGCCCTCCTTCAAGCAGCAATAACATCTTTGTCTCATCTTGAAATAGGAGCAGGGATTCCATCGATCATTAACGATGTGGGAAGCATTGAGTTAAGGGCAGGGAGAACAAAGAAGCTCCCCAACTGATGTCCCAGCTGCAAAAGGCTCACACTGCTCCGTGGACAGAGAGGGAATGGGACAACCACGCAGCCCTTGGTCAAGTACACTCGAGAGGGGGTTATCAGGAAGTCCCTAGGACTTAATCAGCAAAGAAGTCAAGGCTCTGCAAGGCCAACGCATGATGTGGACAGAAGCATGAAAATACACTCTCAAAATCACTCAATACACAAACAAGCAGTGGTCTGCTCCGGCCAAATGTTGTTTGTTACATGCGTCTCTTGTTGTCTAGAGAGACAAGTACCGATGTCAGTAGTTAGGTAAATAAAATACTGAGTCTTTCCAAGAGTTCGAAGATAAAATGCATCTCCCTCCTTGCTGCGGCTCCTCTGAGCAAGTCTTTGCTCTGCACTTGCAAGCTGGGCAACAAATTCTACAGCAGATTGCCTTTCTAAGAGTTACCAGTTTTACTCCATTTGAGGAACAAGTACATCCATGACCGGGCTCTTGAAAGCTTGAAGCCGGGCGCCTTTTTGTGGTGGGGTAGGAAGCGAATTGTGCAATTAACTTGGGTCTTCTTAACCCCTCTACACACAGGACCATCGTGTCGCTCTCCATCGTCTACACCATTGGGCAGGTAGTCATCGCAGTCAGCTCCATCCACGAACTCTCAGACTACGACCACAATGGAACCCCCAACAATCTCCCTTTACATGTGTGAGTTATGTTACCTGCTGCCCGACCCCCTCCCACTGGTTGCTTCTTTGGTGCTCCAGCTTCTCACCTTGAACTTCACCGTAATGTAAGGAGGACTTTACAGCGATGTAGAGAAAGCCGTTCAATTGACTTAAATGTTGGGTCTTCATTACGTTGCCATCCTAACAGTTGTCTGGAGTCATTGCTCACTAAGGCCTGCTGTCTGGGGTACATGTCACGTGGCGTGTGGTCAGTGCACAGGATACTTACTAGCTGCCAGACTGAGCTCATAGTCACCGCCCTGTTAATCATCATGTTCCCGGGAGGGACAGACATTACTGCCACTGATCTTGATTTGCAATTGGACCAGGTTTCCTCAAGACTTTGTACCTTTGGTCTTCTGTCTTGTACTTACTACACTTTTGCTGAGTTCCCATTAACTCGGTTTCATAAATACTTGTTCGAGCAGTATGTTCTGAGTTCTTGATGGATGCCAGCATTGATGCCGCCATTGACAAGTGCTCCTTTGTGAGATTGATTTCCTTCACTGCAGTCTGGTCTAGTAGACAAGTTGCCAAGATTTGTTTCCTGTCCGTGTGTTTCGGTTCCTTGATCTCTAAATAAACCATCTTATCGGTTGGGAAAATATAACTGAACTGTCCCTCTCTCCCTCTCCTTTACTCTCTAAAATCAATTTTTTAAAAAAAAATTTTAAAGAAAGAAATTTAAATTCCTATCTGCAGCCTCCGAGTTTCTGGTTTGTTCATCAGTCAAATTGCTTGTCCAGACAAGTCCTTTGTTGTAACACCGGTGGTGCCCACAGGAAACTGTGCTGGTCGAGGGTGGTGACTATGAGCTCAGTCTGGCAGCTCAGATTTCTAGTGTCTGACCCCCAGCCCTTCCCCAAAGCAGCTGTGAGGCTTGGGGCAACTTATCTTCTCCACGCCCCAATTTCCTAATCTACAATATTGATTAAAAGAACATGGACTTCGTGGGTTCAAATTCTGTCTATGCTCCTCACTGGTTGTGTCTTAACCTCTGTGCCTAGGTTTCCTCATATGTAATAGCACCTGCCTCAGATAGGACTGTGTGTGCTAATCCAGGTGGAGCACCTGGAGCACTGCCTGGCAAGTGACAAGTGCTCAGGAAAGCTTAGCTGCTTTTCTTGCTCACAGAGTTCCTATTAGAGCATACCTACAATCCTCACCAGAGTGCTGGGTGTGTTATAGGCAACTGCCATGTTTTGTTGTCTTTTAAAATCCTCAGAGTGACAGCACTTAAATCCTTAAGAAGCAAACAATGAAAGAGGTGCTTCAACCAGTTAATTCAGGAAGATGAATGTGATTTTTTAAAGAATTTTTTCTATGCATAGTAGTTCTAGATTTTGTTTCAGAAAATATTTTTTAGCACTTTAAAGCACATAACAATCAAGAGATATGAAAAAACACACGCATAAAACTTAAAATTTGTAATACCTGCTATCACTTAACAAAACTACAAATGAGGTTTGGCAAATTCTATGAGTGATTTTTTTTTTTAATTCAGAAAGTAAAACAGATAACTTGGATTATGCAAAAGTAAGTAAAAATAAATGACCTTTAATCCCTTCTAATTATTATAAATAATCTTTTTAATAGTATGCAATATTATAATAAACATTTTGCTTCACTTTCCAGTCTTCTGTAAACAAGTTAAGATCATACTAACTAACCTGATATTTGGCTTTGCCATTAAATCATGTTTTCTAATGCCTTTTAATGACTGTTATGAGTCTATTCAGATTATACAGAGACAATGCTTAAATATTTCACTTACCTATTCTTTTATTGAAAATGATAAGGCTGCAGAAGAACCCCATACAAAAAATCCTTGTTCAATATTCAAGCTATTGCTTTAAAATTTCTAGCTAGTAAGTTATTAGATAACAGAATACACACAAAGGCCCATGAGATCAAGTCCCCTTCACCCGTCCAGACTGCATTCCTGCGCATTATCTTCTCATAGAGGTTGCTGTCCCTTCTCGGTGCTTACCGCTGCACCTGTTCTGCTGAAGGAAACTAAGAAACAGGAGGTTCCTGCCTTTAAAATCTCACATTTCAGCGATACCCCCACCCTTTTCTTCCCGTAGGGCGCTGTCCATGTTCGGCCTGGGCCTGATAGCTCTCGGTACTGGAGGAATCAAGCCCTGTGTGTCTGCCTTTGGTGGAGATCAATTTGAAGAGGGCCAGGTAAGAGCACGTGCCTTCACAGAAACCACATAAATGGACTCTACACTTCCAGGAATCAAATTCCACCGTCACAAGGTCTGTGCACCACTGGATTCTTTTCAAGTAGACTTGAAAGTGAAATACTGACCAAAAACTAAGTTTGAAGCAAGGTCAAATTATCAGCTATATAATCAGGTTGGATCGGTTGTTCTATAGCCAACTTCATTATACTTTAATTTTATCCTTCTTATTATAGGAAAAACAAAGAAACCGATTCTTTTCCATCTTTTATTTGGCCATTAATGCTGGAAGTTTGATTTCTACTATCGTCACTCCCATTCTCAGAGGTAAAAAAAAAAAAATAAAATAAAAAAAAACCAGAGGGTGTGGGGGGCTTCTGTTTTTCTTTTTTTTTAATTGTGGGGAGGAAATCACTTGGAAAGTTTGTACTTACTTTGCTTGTTTAGTCCTCTGCCCCTCCATTTCACTTCAGCCACGAAACAGAATACACATTGGAATCCAGAGTATGGGCTTCTTTTCCTTCCAGTTGTATCTCTTCTTCAATCTCATTAGAATCCCTTAACCTAATGACCACTGGAGGATCTATAGCATCCTTAGCACAGCGGCCACTTTTTCTAAATGACCACTAATGCAAAGTCCTTATTCATGTAAGAGATAAGACAGTAGAAGCTCTGAAAAATACATTTTTTTGCCTTCCAGCTTTGCTCCCAAGTGAGTGAGTTAGGGAGAATTTTGTGGGTAGGGTTTTATTCTTTGCTTTCCTATCATGTCAGATATTTCAAAAAGAACTGTCCGAGAGAGGATGAGATGGCAACTGGCAACAGCACTCAGATCTTTGTGCTTGCTAAGGATCCACTGAGAGTTTGTGGATTCCCACATTGAAGGGGATATTTGGGATCAAATTAGACCATGGGATCAGATTAAATATGAAATAAAATATTTTATGGGGGTTTCTGTTTTTCTGCATAGACTGGTAGTTTAGAGATGATACTTAAAACACATTCCAACTTGTTTTGTATAAAAATTTAGTAGTTTTTAGCCTTATGTTATGTTTCCTCACCTCCCCCCACCTTTCCATCTACTAGAATATCTATTATGCATGTGGTGCATCAGAAAATGTATTACAAGATAACTTCTTTAAAGGTGAAATCATGATTCTCACACAAATATGAAATGAGCATGTGACAATGATTTTATATAATTTAATAGTTAATAAGGAAACTGGAAAGCTACTAGTCAGTGACAATAGGAATTTGACTAACAGATTATTTATATTCTTTTTCAGGGAAGGAATTTATTTTGCTTTGCCATGAACAAAAGTCATTACATGTTTTCTACTAGTTAACTTCTTTCTCTATAGAACTGTGAAATAGAGAGTCAAAGACAAAGTTAAAACCTCTTTAGGATCAGATTCCTGGAGGCCCCAGCATTCCATTAAAAGGATTTCCAGAATTTTCTGTTGCCTCTTCCAATGTCTTAATTTTTTATATACTAAACCCTAGGATTTGAGAGCTAGCCAAGTCTGGCCTCTAGGTCAAATCCAAAAATGTAGAAAAGACTGTCTATTTGTGTACTGTCTATGGCTGCTTTCAAACTACAGAAGCAGGCTTGAGTCATTGGGAAAAAGACTGAATGGTCCACAAAGCCTGAAATATTTGCTCTCTGGCTCTTCACAGTAAAGTCTGTTAACCCCTGCCCTGTGTCATCTAAGTATTTTCAAATTAGCATGAATTCAGGGACACACAAGATAAATTTTCCAACCTACTTTTGATTTTATTTACTGAGTATTCATTTTTATCTCTCCCACTAAGAAAACTCACTGAATGTAAGCACTGGTTTTGACTTGACTAGAATCAGACATCTACATAGGGACAGAGGTTAGACCTGTCTCCATCTCCTGCTCTTACTACTACAAAGCTGCTTTGCTCCTCTGGCACTGACATCAGTGAGGCAAATGGATATGTCTAAAATATAAAGTGAAGAACAATACAATACGTAATAACCAGTTAGGGATTTTTAGAAAATGGGAACTAGATGGGAGTTACCAATGCCATAATGAATTTTAATTTGGTAATTTCTCCCCAGTTCAAGAATGTGGAATTCACAGTAAGCAAGCTTGTTACCCACTGGCGTTTGGGGTTCCTGCTGCTCTCATGGCCATTGCTCTGCGTAAGTAGAATCAGTTGAATTAATTCAATCCTATATCAGATGAAGCCTTTACTTAATCACTGTGACCACTTTTTTAAAAGTCATGTAACCAATTGTAATGATAAATAGTATGAAGACTTGCCAACCCATGTTAAACATGCTCTGAGAAGTCAAAGAATGTAGAGTTGGCATTTTTCAGAAGGAATAAGATCAAAAAGTGTTTACAGGAAAAGGGATCAACTGAGTTGGACAGCTAAACATTTGATACTATTTAGGCAGAGTGAAGTAAAGATGGTGAATCTGCTGGACTAGCTGAACCCATAGCTAAAGGCTTTCCTTCTTATCAACATGTGCTCATCTACAACTGGAAGACATGACAACTTGGTCCAGTTGTTTAAATACTTCCAGTTCCATCTAGATTTCCACAGTATAACATCTCAAAATGTTTCTGGTAGAATATTTCCCCTATAGGATAAATATATGTGTACTAGACGCATTCATTCACACATGAGTTCTTGGCACTGACTTTTTAGGAAGTATGAAGAGATTTCTACATGGGATAGTTTGGCTTGAGAGATGGTGGGGGTTTTCATTTCCTAGGACTGCCATAACAAAATATCAGACTGAGTGGCTTTATCAATAGAAATTCATTCATTATCTCACAGTTCTTGAGGCTGGGAGTCCAAAATCACGTGTCAGAAGGGTCATGCTCCCATGTAAGGCCCTGGGGAGTGTCTCTGCTGGCCTCTCTCCCTTTCGTGGTACCCTGGCTTGTGGCAACAGAATGTCAGTCTGCCCATGGCCTTCCTGCTGTGTGTACATCTGTGTCAAAATGTCCCCTTTCTATAGGGATACCTGTCATATTGGAGTAGGGCCACCATAATGACCTCACCTTACCTTGATTGTCTGCAATTATATTATTTCCAAATAGTCATATTCTGAGGTCTTAGGGATGAGGACTTCAACATCTTTGGGTACAAGAGGGGAACAGAGTCCAATTGCCATTTCAAGCTCAGAATTCTCCCTTTTATATATGTCCATTTTCTTCCATAATTGTTTAACTACTGCCACACTCCCCTAAAAGGCTCATGTATACCTTTTTCTCTCTAATTCTGAGTGAGGAAATGGAGATAGAGAGAACTTCAAAACTGTTGTTTTAGGCTGGACACTATATCAACTTGTCATTAGGTAACTTGTCATTTAGCCTGTATGAGTCATTCTTACATGAAAGATTATGCTTTTTCTTATGGAGGAATTGAGAACAAGCCAAATCCTATGTTCCAATACCCTCTCTAGAAGTTTCTATCTGTAGCAATATTATGTTTGAATTAGGCTTTAGTTAATCAGAAGCTTAAAAATTAAAATATTAGCTAATTAAAAAATGTACTGGCCTGGCCAGTGTGGCTCAGTGATTGAGCATCGACCTATGAACCAGGAGGTCATTTGGGCTTCCCATCAGAGTACAAGCCCGGGTTGCAGGCTCAATCTCCCATAACGGGACTGATGTTTCTATCTCTCTCCCTCTCCTTTCCTCTTTGAAATCAATGATAAATATATTTTTTAAAAGTGTAGACCTAAAAAAAAAATGTAGACTAGGCTATTGGCCATCTCTTCCATCCATGTTTGATTAAGGACAATTGGCATTGGGTTAGACTACAAGTAAACTCATCTTTCTTTAATTATAAAGAACATCTATAAAAAGGCAAATAGGTGCCAACTCGCAAGCATTATTTCCAACTATCAAAATCTTAGGCCCTCTCTTAAGGGAGCGGAAAAGTCCAATTCAGATGATCAATTAGTGTTTTAAAAAATTTTAATTCTGGTATTGGATAATCAGAAATCCTAGAATAGAGATTGTGTTTTCAGAGTTTCTTCCAGAAATGCTGTTTTTCCCTGCGTTATTTTTATAATATATCTGTCCTAAGAGTTGCTTCATTGTAAAAGTGCTTTTACTTGTGTAAAACTGGAGCTACAGATGCAAATAATTTTAACTGTAATTCTGTACCATGACCACAGAATAAATTCTGTTAATGTGAGTAAGCAAAAGTTCCAACAGATAGTTGTTATTTCTTTCTGATGATTAAAAGAAGAATTTTCCTGGCCAGTGTAGCTCAGTGGTTGAGAGTGGCCCTACGAACCAGGAGATCCTGCTTTGATTCCCAGTCAAGGCACATGCCCTGGTTGCGGGCTCAATCCTCAGTAGGGGCCATGCAGATGGCAACCAATCAATGCTTCTCTTTCAACATTAACGTTTCTATCTCTCTCTCTCCCTTCCTCTCAGAAATCAATAAAACAATATTTTTTTCAAAAGAACTCTGTCTTGTCATTGCAACTGAAAAAAGCTGATTTTTGTCTTTATAGAGTAATACATTAACCTTATATGCAAAAGCACTTATTTCTTTGTACCCCTTTACATAGTGAAACAACTTGTGCCTACATAGCTGAACCAAGAAATGTCTCACTTTATAAGTCTTTGAGCAGCCCCAAGTTTTGGATAATAGTAGACTTCACTGTTTGTATGTGAGACACACACATATAACCGTACTCAGAAGCTCCTGTGTTTGTTAGAATCAAAAGCACTTTCTTCACTGGGAGAGAGGGAGGAACCCCCATTCTATGAGTAACCCTGGTGTGTCCAAAACAAGGTTATAACTCAAATGAAAGCACCTTTTCTGGGTCCCAGGTAGTTCTGACAGCACCGTATTACACACCTTATTTTGCCCTGCAGTTGTATTCATCGCTGGCAACAGCATGTACAAGAAGTTCCAGCCCCAGGGGAACATCATGGGTGATGTGGCCAAGTGCATTGGGGTAAGTATCTCAGTCGCGCTCTCTCAGTGGCATTTAGTCACCCCAGAACCTTTCACTTCCTTTGAATTAGAAGTCAATGAAATGTCGCCTCTCCTTTAAGCGTTGTATTACTGTTCTTTACTACAGGGGTGGGCAAAAGTGTTACCTGAAAGGTAAATCACAAGCAAGGATACTAAATAAAAACATTAATAATAACACAAATGATATAAATATAATAAACACAGTGATTATTAAATAATATAAGGTCTAGTAATAATTAATGTCATTTTCTAATACTTTTTTAAATCAAATTTATTTAAACAATACAACAAAATTTAAGCAACAATATAGTTGCCGTTGTTTTCTACTACTTGTGCCCAACGCTCAGGAAGCATTTTAATCCCTCTGTTGTAAAATTCTTGTGATTTTGATGCAAAAAATTCGGTCAATGCATTTTTGAGGCATTCTTCATTATTAAATTTTTTTCCAAGAAGAAAGTTTTGCAAAGAATGAAACAAATGGTAATCGGAAGGGGCAATATCAGGAGAATATGCAGGTTGAGGGAGAACTTCCCATTCCAACTGGTGCAGTTTTTCAGCAGTGATTCTTGCAGTATGCGGTCGTGCATTATCATGGTGAAGAATTACGCCCTTCCGATTAATCAGCGCGGGTTCTTTTTCTCTTAAAGCTTGGGCTAACCTTTCCAATTGGGCACTATACACTGCATTTGTAATGGTTTGGTTAGATGGTAAAAGTTCATAATGAAGAATTCCTTTAAAATTCCACCAAACACACAACATCACTTTTTTCGCATGCAAGTCAGGTTTTGGCGTGGGCTGGGGAGCCTCATTTTTGTCCAACCATTGAGGCCACCTTTTCAAATTAACATACAGCACCATTCTTCATCTCCGGTAACAATTTGCTCTAAAAACGGCAAACGGTTTTGACGAGAGAGGAGCGAACTGCAAATTGTGACTCTTTGATTACGGTTATTGTTGGTCAACTCATGAGGAACCCATTTTCCAAACTTTTGGACTTTGCCAAGTGCACACAATTGATTGGAAATTGTTTTTTGTGAACAATTTAAAGTCGTTGCAAGCTCTTGTTGGGTAATTTGAGGATTTTGCACCAAAAGAACTTGAAGAGCTTCTTGATCAAAATTGGACACATGGCCTCCACCACTCTTGTCATCTAATGAAAAATTTCCCTCGCGAAATTTCTCAAACCAACGCTGGCATTTTCTGGCGCTAACTGCATCTTGACCAAGAGCACTACAGATGTTTTTTGCAGCCTCACTTGCTTTTCTTCCTAATTGGAACTCGTAAAGCATGCAGTGCCGAATATGCTCTTCATCTGCCATCTTCTTAGCCCTAGTTTTGCAACAAAAACCAAACCAAACACAAACTTTTTCAAGAAAAACTTGTTAATTGCACTTCACACATTCTGTAGATACTATGTGTTTGAAGGTTATGTCAATACAAGACAACGCCAAGCAAGATTTTAAATGAATGTTTAAAAACGACATTAATTATTACTAGACCCGATAATACAAGGATAACCTGTTTTGTATGCTCACAACTGTAAACCTACTTTTGCCCGCCCCTGTGTTTTGCTAAATTAAGTTTTCTTATAAAATTCACCACATGGAAAAGGACACAAAACAGAACTCAACTAAAGAGGCATAGAAATGATTCTTGAACTTATAAGATATCAGTGGACATGGAAAATCAAACCCAAACCACCCCTCACCTATCACCATGGCAAGCAGTGCCTGGTGCATGTTGGGCAGCAGGAGAGGCCTGGTTTGGTGCTGCGTGTCAGGAGTCAGATGCATGGAGTGTCCTTAATCTTCCTTTTATGAATCAAGTATAAAAACATAACTTTTAAAAAATTAAAAGCACAAAATCACATTTGAAGGTTATCGATATATTGTTTAACAGCAAAAAACGGCAGCACAAAACAAAATAAATATTTGCAGCAGAAATTGTGTAAGTCCACCAAACATGGGAGAAAACGGCTAACTCACGTCTGTGCAACGTCACTCAGCCCTCAGAGGTCTCGTGTTTAGAGACTGTTTGGTGATGAGAACATGCAGAATGTGGTTTCTTCCATGCACAGCTGCATGGTGTATGCACATACGGGCACATTTAAAGTCAGAAATAAGTAATGGAGTCAAATAACTTTATTCCCCTGTTGATGCCCCATATTTTTAGTGACTATGTATATTGTATAGTCAGGGGAAGTGTGTCACATTATTAAAAAACTAGAGTCCCAGAGAGTGATTGAGGAGACTCCCATTGGGGAGGGGGGGGGGGGAGGAGGGAGCCAGGATCCGAGCCTGACCAGTGTAGCACCTGCCGCAGCATTGTGTCTGCTGGGGTGGGGGCAGGCACTCCTGTGTGCTGTGGCTCCACGCTGGCCCACCCCACCCCCAGCCTCCCTGCAGCCTCTGGGGCTGAGGGCTGCACGCACTCCCCTTCCGCCCATCTGCTTGCAGTTCCTCCTGAGAGGTCATGTAGCCTTCTTCTCAACAGGTCCTGATGCCTGGCTAATTAGCATATTCCCTGTAGATAGATAGATATTGTAGATAGATAGATAGATAGATAGATAGATAGATAGATAGATAGATGATAGATAGATAGAGATACAGATACAGATATAGATATAGATATAGATATAGATATAGATATAGATATAGATATAGATATAAATATATAGATAGTTGTGGATAATTTTTCTTTTGCCTGGCTTTATTGCATTAAATTATATATGGGCACTTTACTTTGTGAAATTACTGTGTCCTCTCAGAAATGTTTTGTTCACTTCCCTTTCTGCTATTCCTGCTTCCTTCCATACTTTCCTCTTACATAAATTACATCAATCCCATCACAAATTTTTTCCAAGCTAGGAGGGGATCTTACCAATGATCTCTCCAAGTCCTTCCTTCCCAAGTAACTGACAACTTAGCTCAAACTCCAAAAGAACAACTCCATGCTATTTAGAATCATGAGACTATTACCCTGCATCCAAAACCAGCCCACAGCTTTGGGTTACTGCCTTTCAGGCATGCATGTCCCCAACTAGCCCCACCACTAGCTGCTCTTGCTGCTGCATAGTTACAAATGCACCTGGCTTTTCCTGAAAGCCTCTTACTAACAAGGAATCTTAGAAGCTTTTAATTGTATGATGGTGGTTCAGTATATATATATATATATATATATATATATATATATATATATATATATATATATATATATTTACCAGTGTTACTGTGTTTTAAAATATGTTTAACTGTAGCCATTACTTTTTATAAACTCATTTCTGTGTAGAGGGTTCTCACTGTTCTTTATATGCCTGTACCATTTATTATAGACCTTCTGTATAACATGGTGGCCACCAGCCACATGTGGCTATTGAACATTTGAAAGGTGGCAAGTTCAACTGGGGAACAGAATGTTAAATTTTTCTTAAAGTAATTTAAATTATATAATTCCTTATATATGTATTTCTATGGAGTTGGTCCTTTTAAATCTAAAAAACGATACTTAATTCAGTTATTGAAAAATTTTTAAATATCTTTGAAACAGCTTAAGTATGTAACTCTGGGTTTTCAAACATAAATTTTATGAAATATAAATGCAGATCAAATATTCCTGATAAAAATTTAGCACTCAAATTAAAATGTGCTGTAACCATAAAGTATGCCCTGGGTTTCAAAGACAGTATAAAAAAGAATGTAAAACTTTTTGTGAATTTTTAAAATATTGATTACATATTAAGATCATGTTTTAGGTTTGTTGGATTAAAAATATACATTTAAAATTAATTTTACCTGTTTCCCTTTTGCTTTTCTTTCTTTTCTTTGAATCAGACCTTTGGAGTATTTGTTTGTTTGTTTGTTTGTTTATTTATTTATTTATATCACCGTTGCTTTTTAATATGGCTACCGGAAAACATAAATGTTACACGTCATGTTTCTATTGACTGCTGCTCTGTAGAGTACCGTAGTAACAGTGTGACTTTGTTTACCCCAACTCACTTGAAAATTGCAAGAGCTTAGAAATAAATGCATCCTACCTTTTAGCAATGTCATACTAGTGTACTAGTATACATTTTTATATTTTGCGTCTCTCACCCGTCTTCCTTTAAAAGGAGTTTAATTGAAAGTGTTTCCCTGATAAAGTTATCAGTTCTGTCCTGAAATTTGCTTTTTCTTCCCTCCTTCAGTTTGCCATCAAAAATAGGTTTCGGCACCGGAGTAAGGACTTCCCCAAAAGGGAGCACTGGCTGGACTGGGCCCGGGAGAAGTATGACGTAAGTGATCCCATTGCTGCGTGTCCCACCAGGGGCCGTCCTCTAGGAAGGGAGCACCACAGTTACAGCTCATCCTGATAAGGCCTCCTGGGCGAGATCACCAACTGTGTCCTCGGAACCTTTAACAGCATCTTAACTAAGACTCTGGGAGTGTGATTGTTTTCTATCGAGAAGAACTTGACTAACAATAGATATAATGTACCTGGAAACAATATTATCTTGCCATAGATGTGCATTTGGTACCACCTGCCAATTGATATATGTAATTGTGCTCACAGCACTTTAGTTTGAATCTAGAAGAGTGAAAGGGTGATGGTGGTGGAGTTTACATTTAGTGGAATTTACATAAATTTGAGTAATTTACCTCCTGCACAGACATTTTCACTTATACTTTAAATAGCTTAGGAAGTTTTCGTTCTCAAAAGGAACCTGGGGTAGGGTTCTTGGAATTGTTCATCACCTCCCAGCCAGTCTTCAGATGCAGATAAGTCCACACTGAACCTAACATTGCTGGTGACATAACCCTGTCTGACTAGCCCCTCCTCTACTCCAACCACAGGAGCGGCTTATCTCTCAAATTAAGATGGTTACGAAGGTGATGTTCCTGTATATTCCACTCCCCATGTTCTGGGCCTTGTTCGACCAGCAGGTAAAGTGAAACTATGTTTTCATACATCTTCATGTAGCAAACGTTCTTTGGGCTCTACCATGTACCAAGCCATAGTATCTAGTTTTCTTGCAGTTTCTCTTTTATTCATTTATTTGATCACTTAATCACATTGAGTTTCTTAACAACAACAACAACAAAACAAAACAAAACAAAACAAACAAAAAAAAAAAAAAACCTCTAGGTGGTTCTAGCGCTAGCCTAATTCTTTCCAAAAATCGGGACTTTTTTAAAACTCCACGAGACTCGAAACAAATTGTTAAAAATTGGGACAGTCCCACCAAAAGCAGAACATCTGGTCACCTTATTCTAGCCACATCTCTGTTGCAAAACAAGGGGGAAAATTAGGTGTGATCAAGTAAAGGTGCATTAGGAGAGACTGGATCAAAGTGCCCAACACTCTTTCGAATAAAAACTGAGAATAAGGAAAAATTGAGAAAAGAAAAACTGAGAGAAAAAAATAAAAACACAGAATAAAGAGTTTTCCCATTGATGCATCATGGTAAACAGATGTAATACCTTTTCTGGGATCTACAGAATATTGTAACTGACAGGAACTTGACATCTTTCCATCTAAATGGGATGCGTGGTTTAGGAGCACCATCCAGGGTGCACGATGACTCCCCAAAGTTGGTCTGACCAGAGCAGGAACTAGACCCCGGTTGTTGCCTCGTCGCCTGCTCTTTCTCCCACGGCTGTAAGATGCTGGCCTCGGAACATCTCAATGCAGAGTTAGATAACTGAATGTATGATGCCTACTAGTCAAAGGAATAAGATATTATTCCTTTTAGAAACTGGAGTTTTTCAAAAGTTCGCAGGCATGTGTAATTTTATGGTCCAGGGAGGATTGCTATATGGGTAAGCCATCGCTTGTAAAAGAGTTGTGCGTACACATTGAATCTCCTTGTTGGTAAGTGTGAAATGGAGAACAGCATTTGAAACACCAAGGAGGCAGTTTTGCACGTTGATACAAACCTGTTACTGGATGTGAACTTGCACTAGAAACACATTCACCACCTTTTAGCTGTGTGTCTTGGGGTAATCCCTTAACCCTTCCGAAAGAATTGTAACCCTCCACAAGGCTGTGAGGACCCACATGGAGAACTAGGGCATACACCCCTGTATTAAGAATTAGCTGAAACCGGTTTGGCTCAGTGGATAGAGCATCGACCTGTGGACTGAAGGGTCCCAGGTTCGATTCCGATCAAGGGCACGTACCTTGGTTGCGGGCACATCCCCAGTGGGGGTTGTGCAAGAGGCAGCTGATCGATGTCTCTCTCTCTTCAATGTTTCTAATTCTCTATCTAACTTTCTTCCTCTCTGTAAAAAATCAATAAAATATATTTAAAAAAAAAAAAAAAGAATTAGAACGGTGCCCTGCACTTACTATGATGTCCTCCTAGTGGAGTGGATCGGTTACATTGAAACATTTATGTTTTTAGTCCTCTATGGGAATAAGGATACTTGTACAGTCCTGAGTCGTCTTTTCCTAGGAAATAGGTTTAATGTAACGAGGCCGCTCAGTCTTAAATTTGTCACTCTCTTCACGGAATCACATTTTAGGACAGCTTGGGCTGTCAAAACGGCTCTTAGCAATAGCAATGCTCTGGAAACTGTGGTGCCAGTGAATATGGAATATCCTCAGGCTGTAAAGCTGCTTTCTCCTGGCAGCTAACGTCTGGCTTCCCACCAACCTCAGAAATGCATTTGGTCTCTTCACAGGACAGCTTTATCCCAGAGCAGAGCTGTGTAGGTGCTCTGTCAGGGTCAGGGGTATTATATGTTATGTTAACTTGCAGAGCAGAAATGCAAGTTGTTTCTCCTCACCCAGTATTACATGGAGCTGGGAGGTGAACCCCGCATTGAAAAAAGAAATGTTAAATCCCATAACATTTCAGACCTCACTCCCGATTTGGGGGCGGGGGGGGGGGGGGGGGGGGAATCAACATTGACTTGTAAAATGTTTAAAGACCCACGTTCCCAAGTGATGCAGTATGCTTCCTTGTTTTTTAAGGGCTCAAGGTGGACACTGCAGGCAACAACAATGAATGGGAAAATTGTAAGTTTAAGACATCCCCTGGTCACTGTTCCTTTGTTTTAGTCCCTTTGCCCCCTTTCTCCTTCGTTTTCATGACATTCCCAACCCCCCAGTTGGTCATCTGTGGGCACTTACCAATGAAACTCCTCCCCCCTCTGTTTTTAGGGACTCCTGGACATTCAGCCAGATCAGATGCAGGTAAGAGAAAATACATAAGTTGCTTTCGGAGATCAAAGTCACCTCTGAGTCAATGGTAACGGTCCATCTCCACTTCGTCTGCAGACCGTGAATGCCATCTTGATCGTTATCATGGTCCCGATCGTAGACGCTGTGGTGTACCCTCTGATTGAAAAATGTGGCTTCAACTTCACGTAGGTGACCGGCAGGTTGGGGTTGAGGCTCCCATCAGTGCTAGGACTTTGCAACAGGGCTAAACTCCCTCAGCTTCCAGGCCTCCGTGGGAAAAAAAGACCCTGTCTCCTCTCCCACAACGCCGTCTCTATGAGGGGGCTTTTAAAGAAATACATGTGAGCCCTGGCCACGTGGCTCCGTTGGTTGCAGTGTCATCCCATATGCACCAAAAGATTGTGGGTTCAATACCCAGTTGGGGCTCATGCAGGAGGCAACTGATCAATGCTCTCTCTCTTTTTCCCTCTTCCTCCCTCTCAAGAATCACTATCCTCAGTTGAGGATTAAAAAAAGAAATACATTTGAATTAGATGTCTGTGTGCTGATGTTTCTGAAGACTTTCCCTAAAAATAAAATGTTATTACTAGCAGCCTGATGAAGGCTCTCTCAGAGATGCTGAAGGTTGTTCAGAACAGGCGTCCCTGGGATGTGCCCCTTTGGCCCAGAGAGTATTTTATATTCTGAGCTAAACCTAATCTAGACCCTGTAGGCTCACAAAACACACACACACACACACACACACACACAGTTTACAAAAACTGTCTCTCCCTTGAAGAAATTAAATTGGGGAGCTTGCCTATTTACCAGAATATATGTTATGCATATGGGGAGCTTGCCTATTTACCAGCTTGTCATTACCAGAAATAACTTTTTTTTTAAATTTTTAAATGTTTTATTGTTTTTTTTACAGAGAGGAGGGGGGGGGGGAACAGAGAGTTAGAAACATCCATGAGAAAGAAACATCAATCAGCTGCCTCCTGCACACCTCCTACTGGGGATGTGCCCACAACCAAGGTACATGCCCTTGACCGGAATCGAACCTGGGACGCTTCAGTCCTCAGGCCGACACTCTATCCACTGAGCCAAACCGGTTTCTGCCAGAAATAACTTTTTATGACTTATCTAAGTGACAGGGTAAACATGTAAGTGACTGAACAACTGCTTTTCTTGTTATCTTACAAACTGCCCTCCTCCCCTCTGAAGCCCCAAGGCATCTTGACTCAGGATGCTGTCTATATCCCATTTTCCCTTTCTGTCTCTGAACCTCTCATGTATGTGGGATTCCCATCCATACGTACGCAAGTAAATTGGGTTACTTTCGCTTGTTAATCTATCTCATGTCAATTTAGTTATTAGACCAACAAAAGAAACCTAGAAGGGTAGAGGAAAATGGCTTCCTCCCCATAATCTAGAAGATAAAACGTTAACTATCATCCAGAGTATCACCCGAATTATAATTTCTGGAAAGTAAATGTAAAAACACAAATGAGGCTCTCTATTCCATGTAGTGTCCCTAGTCTTGGTCATGAATAACAAATGAAGGGGCTCTTCCAATGTCATGTGTTTTGGAAAGGAAGTGAGTTTTGTTGGGGGCGGGAGAGGAGTGCGTCTTTGGGGGGCATGTCATTAGCTTGTTTGTATGTGACTGATTGGGAGTCCTCTCTTGCTTGTCTCATCAGCCCATTGAAGAAGATGACCGTCGGGATGTTCCTGGCTTCCATGTCTTTCGTGGTGGCTGCAGTGTTGCAGGTGGAAATTGATGTGAGTTGTCCTCTGATTCTCCAGTGGCCGTTCTGGGCTCAGGCATTCAGGTGGGGTGTTCAGAAGTCTTCTTACTCCAGGAGTGAAAGGATTAGGGGAGGTCAGGATCTCTGCTAATAAACTGTCCGGGAACTATGGACCATGCACTCCAGGGGCAAAATAGTCCCTTTCTGACAGCATGGACAGCTGAGTGCTATCTCTGCAAAGGATGCAGCCAGGAATAGGGTCAATAGGCACACTCAATAAGGAGAAAAGCTGGACCACATTCACATAAGGAGCTTCCTTTGCAGTTTTTAGAATGGGAGATAAGTTTATGAAACTAGCATTTATATGAACTCCTGAAAAAGCTAGTGAAAAGAAGTTCAGCACTCACAAAGTATTTCAAAACTGTGTCAGTCGTCTTCTTGATGGGCTTCTGCCCTTTTATATTATAACTTTTCTAATAATGATTAGTTCCCAAGCTAATTCTCATGTCTATTGGACCCACAATGGGGCTAAACTAATGCCCTTAGTCTAAGCTCAGGTCCTAGGAAACTGGTGTTATACGGTATATAAGATAAGAGGTAGAGAGCTCTCTTTCTTTCTCTCTCCCTCTCTTTCTCTTTCTCTCTCTCCCTCTTTTCCTCCTTCTTTCTCTCTTTTTTAATCTATATTTTTAATTGTGATAAAAATATACATAACAAAATTTACCATCTTAGTCATTTCTACGTGTACAGTTCATCAGTGCTAAATATATTTATATTATTGTGCACACTATCTTTAGAATGCTTTTCATCTTCCCAAACTGAAACCCTACATCCATTCATCAACTCCCCATTCCTCCTCCCCCACCCCTAACCCCTAGTAACCACCATTCTACTTTCTGTCTCTATGACTTTGAATATTCTAAGTACCACATTAGGTGGAATCACACGGTACTTATGTTTTCATGACTGACTTATTTGATGTAATGACCTCAAGATTTATCTATGTGGACCATGTGTCAGAATACCCTTTCTTTTTAAGGCTGAATAATGTTCTGTTTTATGGATATAGCACATTTTTTTTTAATCCATTTATCTGTTGATAGACACTTAGGTTGTCCCACCTCTTGGCTATTATGACTAGTTGCTACTATGATCATGGGTGTATTCCATTTCTCTTGAACATAGCTAGCTTTGTGGAAAATTAATCATGGCGCTGAAATAGAAATAGATTGCTTTAGTGACAATAGGATTTGAGAGAGGACATGTAGGGAAAAGGCAGCAGAAACCCTGAGAAAAGGTGTGGAGGCAGGAGAGCATAACACATTTGTGAGAGGCTGTTTAGAGCGCCATGTCCAGGGCTGAGGCCTGGGTGTCCAGAGTTGGAGGGGAGGCATCCCGAGAAAGAAGCTCTCAGGTGCCACAAGATAAGCATTCATGTACACTATGGTTCCTCTGGCCCCTCAGTGATTAGGCTTCATAACCTGGCATCCCTTGCAGCGTTTCCCAAACTTTTGACATATATGTACCCCTTCTATAATTTTCGTAACGCTGAGTACCCCTCGTACTCATGAGAACATAGAATTAGGTACAGCTAAGCACGGTGCAGTGCATATCCCCACCAAACTCCAGTGCAACGCATACCCCCACCAAACTCTTCCCATACTTCTAGGGGTACACGTACCACACTTTGGGAAACACTGGCCTAGAGGTAGGAGCAAAAAAGCCTCTTTCTGATTACTTCCATGTTCTGTACAAACATCATTTTCCATGGGTGCCATGAAGTGATGATTAGAGGCCTGGGGCCTAGTAGGAGGTGTGCCTCAGACAGCACCACTTCCCGTGCCTGGGGAAGGGGACTCTAGCGCTCTGGTTAAGATATATTCTGTACAAACTGAAGACCTCTCTGCCAACTGTCTTTTATTTTATTCAGAAAACGCTTCCAGTCTTCCCCGAAGGAAACCAAGTCCAAATTAAAGTATTGAATATAGGAAACAATAACATGACTATACATTTTCCTGAAGTGACGGTGAACGTCGGCCAAATGTCTGTAAGTAGATGGAACAGAAATTTATGTTTCGTCATCTGGCCTGAGTCATAATAGGATTTGCAGAATCTGATCTTCTTGGTCCTGGTATAAGTTCTATGATAAGCCCAGAAGGGAAATGTCTTAATATCATGATCTCCTTTTGGTTTCACTCTGGACCAGTGCACATCAAACTTTAATGTGCACAGGAATCACCTGGGGAGCTTGTTAAAACACAGACTCTTGATCAGTAGGTCTGAAACCTTCCATTTCAACAAGCTTCTCAGTGATATTGCTCTGCCGGTGCATGAACCACACTTGAAATAGCAAGATCTGCGTCAGTAGTCCTCCAGCAGGGGCCATATAGTGGGAGAGAAGTTTATAAAAGTTGTTCTTTTATGGACTCCTAAAAGATCTAGTTAAAAGAAATTCAGCACTCACAAAATACTTCAAAAGTGTGTAAATTATCTTTTTTATGGTCTTCTTCCCTTTTGTATTCTAACTCTCCTAATAATGGTTAGTTTCCAAGCTAATTCAAATGCCTGTTGCCCCCACAATGGAGCCATGCTGACTCCTAATGCCTTTAGTCTAAGATCAGGTCCTAGAAATCAGGTGTTCCGTGGTTAAGAGACATTTGACAATCTCTGGAGACATATTTTTTTATTACCGCAACTGGAAGTGTGCTATCTTCCTATGTAGAAGCCAGGATGCCACCACACAGTGCCTCCCGACAACAAAGATTTACCTAGCTCCCAATGTCAATAATGCCAAGGTTAGAAAACCCCAATGTGGACATTCATTGGTCTGGATTAAAGTTCTCAATCTTGAGTCCTTATTTGGTCACCTGAAGAGCTTTGAAAATTATATCTGGGTCCCACCTCCCACAGATTTTGATTGAACTTGTCTCATTCCTGTTTAGACACCATTGAGAACCACTACCTTGGATCTTGCCAAATCAATAATCTTGAAGTTAAAAAAAAAAAAAATGTTTGACTCCTAATGCTTGGAGCAACCCAGTATTGATTATTTCTAGGGCTGATGCTGTTCTTTGCCCAATGATAGAAATGATTTCTATAGCATTTATCTTCATAAAACAAAATGAAAGTAAAATGCTGGATGAAAAGGGCAATTCCTGTGGTAATACTAAACAACTTCATGACAGAATCTGTAAGGGTAAGGTTGGGGGGTGGGGCTAAGATATGTCAGCTCCCGAAAGACACTTTTTGATGTGTGTGAATGTGCACTGGGAATGTCTAATAATATGCCATGACAATGCTCAGTTACACAGTGCAGAGCAAGACTGCAGTGTTAACTATGACTCCTTTTCCCCTGTTACAGGGAAATGATTTCAGGACTTTTGATTTGGACAAACTGACAAGTATAAACATTTCTTCTCCTGGATCACCAGTTACTCCAGTAATTCCTGATTTTGAGAAGGGCAAACGCCATACTCTGCTAGTGTGGGAACCCAATTATTACCGAGTGGTAAGTAGCTGAACACCTGCAGCTGACTCTTTCCATGTGTGCTATTGGAGACATGGTCTTCTAATTGTGTGACTTTTACTTCCATATCATAATATATTAGATAACCCTCAATTTCTTGCTACTTTAATCACACAAGTCATTTGACTTCCAATAAAAGTTTGACTGGTGGATGTGAATGGTTAATATTTTTTAAAAATCTATAAAGAACTTTTGAGTGCCTTAGTCAGGTGGCTTGGTTGGTTGGAGCATCATCCCATACACCGGAATGTTGCAGGTTCGATTCCCAATCAGTGCACATACCCAGGTTGTGGGTTTGATCACCTGTCAGGGCATGTATGGGAGGCAACCTTTTTATGTTTCTCTCTTCTCTCTCTCTCTCTCTCTCTCTCTCTCTCTCTCTCTCTCTCTCTCCCTCTCTCCCTCCCTCCCTCCCTCCCTCCCTCCCTCCCTCCCTCCCTCCCTCCTTCTCTCTCTTTCTCAAATCAATAGAAATATATTCTTGGGTGAGGATTTAAAAAAAAAAAAAGGAACCTTTGAGCATGTTGTGTGTGTATGTATGTGTGTATGTGTGTGTATACATATACATAAGTCACACAGAGTATGTGTGTGCATTCTCAGTGACTTTTTGAAATAAAGTTTAAAATATATCTTTAATTGTATTAATTTTAAAACCTTGCCCTGAGTGATTGAGAAATGAGTACAGTTTCTATAAAAAAATATATAGGAATATACTTTTTATAGAAAATGCAACAAAAATACACATCAGGTAAAAGCAATAAAAATATGTATAAAATATATCATGACAAAGTATAGGATCTAGCTATGCTATTTAGCATATGAAGAAGCTGTGAAGGTGTCATGGAACTGAATGAGGGAGCTGTGAATATTTTGCAATGTAAGTGAGCTTCTATAGAACTGCAATATTGAATTAAGACTTCTGAGTCATATGTTTAATTAGGGAGTCGTTGAATGGAATGTTCAGAATTCTTGGAGCACAGTGTTCTGCAGAACCACTGGAAAGCAAGCATCAAAGTTTATAGAGATAATGTTAACTTCACGGAAAACTAGGGCTGAAGGATGGAGCCCTGCAAATGTAATCACTATGCCCTTAGCTCCCAGGATAAATGTCAACATCACTCTTCTTCTCAGAGGCTGAAATGGTCATCTAAATGTATTCTAATGGATTATATTTTAACATGTTTTCTTTTTCAGATAAAGGATGGCCTTAACCAGAAGCCAGAGAAAGGAGAAAATGGAGTCAGGTATGTGTATGTGTTTGGGTATTTTAAAAAATATATTTTATTTATTTTTTACAGAGAGGAATGGAGAGGGAGAAGGATAGAGAGTTAGAAACATCAATGAGAGAGAAACATTGATTCAGCTGCCTCCTACACACTCCCTATTGGGGATGTGCCCACAACCAAGGTACATGCCCTTGACCAGAATCGAGCCTGGGACCCTTCAGTCTACAGGCTGACGCTCTATCCACTGAGCCAAACTGGTTGGGTCAGGTATGTGTATATCTTTAAAAATTAAGTTGTATCAGCTTCTTATGGAAGTAATATATACCTATAGTAATTTCCAACTGTAAAAAGGATATAAAATGAGAGTATGGGTTTATCCCAAGAAGGTATGCTGGTTCTATATTTTTAAATAATTAACCAATGTAATTCATTATCTTAAAAACTAGAGAGGAAAATCCATAAAACTATCAATTGATCCAGAAAAAAAAAGCATTTGATAAAATTCAGTATCCATTTCTGAGAAAAATTCTCAGCAAACTATTATAGTAATTGAAAGGAACTTTCTTACTCAGAAAAAGGATATATTTTAAAAATCCCCAGGCTACCATTATATTTAATGGTCAGAGTCAAAGTGATCTCCCCATAAGAACAGAAACAAGGTAAGATCATATATTTTCTTTACTTATATTCAACATCCTTCCAGAGGGTAATTCGATAAGACCAGAAAAATAAGTAAAAATATCTAGATTGAAAAGGAAGAAATAAAACTCGCTACTCACAGATGGCATAATTATCTGCATAGAACATCCCAAGAACTCTACAAGAAAATATCATGGGATCAATAAGTGAGTTTAGAAAGAGTCCAAGGTACAAGGCCAACCAGAAAATAAACATATTTCTATAAACCAGCAGTGAACAAGTGGACTGAAACTTTAAATAACATTTACAGTAGCTCAAAATAAGGTGAAATACTAGTTATAAGTCTAAGGAAACATATATAAGATTTGAGAGTTGAAGCTACCAAAAGGCTTAGGAAAGAAATCAGTGAAGAGCTAAAGAAATGGAGAGATATACTGGGTTTATTGATTAGAAGACTTAACATTGTAACGATGATGTCAGTTCTCCCCAAATTGATCTGAGGTTTATTGAAATTCTTATCAAAATCATAGTATTATTTTTCATTTTTTCCAGTTTTATTGAGTTACAACTGACAATGTTGTGTATATATTTAAAGTATACAATATCACGATTTAATATATGTATACTATGTGAAGTATTTCCACAATTAAGTTAACACATCCATTACCTCACAGTTACCTTTATTGTAATAAGAATGCTTACAAGCTAATCTCTTAGCAAATTTCAAGTATACAATACAGTATTATTACCTATAGTCTCCATGTCATATAGTAAATCCTCAGAACTTATTCATCTTAGAACTAAAAGTTTATATCCTTTATTTCCTACTCCCTGCTCCCTGGCAACCACCATTCTACTCTCTATTCTACGAGGTCAGCTTTTTTTTTTTTTTTTTTTTTTTTTTTTTTAGATTCCACATATAAATGATATCATACAGTACTTGTCTTTCTCTGACTAATTTATTTCACTTAGCATATGCCCTCCAGGTCCATCCATGCTGTCACAATGGCAGGATTTTCCTCTTTTTGTGGCTGATTCATGTTCCATTAGATATAACATATATACATAATGAAAATGTATGAAAATATTGATCAATCAGATCTCATCCTAAACATTTGTTCTATAAATATCACTGTTAAGAGAATAAAAGAATAATCTACATACTGGCAGAAAATATTTACAAATCACATATCTGGCATAGAATTTGTATCTAGAATATATAAATTACTCTCAAAACTTAATAATAAGAAAGTAAGCAGGTTAAAAAACAGAGCAAAGGATCTTAACAGACTTCTCAGCAGAAAAGATATAATAATGGCAAAGAAACACATGAAAAGATGTTCAATATCATTGGCCACTAAGGAAATATAAATTGAAACCACAGTGAGTTCATGACACCTATTGGATGGCTATAACATATTTTTAAACTGACAATGGATAAAGGCCACCCTAAATAATTTTACCTCTTTAAAGATCCTGTCTTCAAATACAGTCACATTATAGGTACAGAAATCATTCATGTAGATAATGTGATTGCATGCTTCCTTAGTTTCTAAAAAATCTCCAACTTAAAATTTGAGAAAAAAAAAAAAAAAAAGCTATGCAGAGGTCTGGCTATAAGTTCCGTTTATTTCAACCCTGTCATACTGATAAAAAATACTTTAAGGAGGAAATGAGAGAGAAGCATAGTGACCTTAAGTAGATTCAAAAAGAAATCTTCATTTAAAAAGTTGTGAAGGTTTTACTAAAAATACTGGAACAACTGGAAATTCACATGCAAGAGACTGACGTTAGACCTTCCCAACCTGAAACCACACACAAAAATTAAATCAATGGATCATAAACCTACTATAATGAAAACAATAAAATTTATAGAAAAATAACAGGCATAAATGTTTGTGACCTTGGGTTAGGTAATGGTTTTTTAGGTATGAAACTAAAAGCACAAGCAACAAAATAAAATAATAATAACTTGGGTTTCATCAAAATTGAAAACTTTTATTTTACAAGTGATATCATCAGAAACGTGAAAAGATAATTCACAGAATTAGTGGAGATGTCTGCAAATCATTTTTCTGATGAGATATATTCTGATTATTTAAAAAAATTCTTACAAATCAGTAATAATATGGCAAATAACCCAGCTTTTTAAAGGGACAAATATTTGAATTGAAAAATTTCCAAAGAAAATATACAGATGCTCAAAAGTCCATGAAAGGGCTCTCAACGTTATTAGTAATTAGGGAATGACTGTGATTTGACTAATGAAAATCAAAACCACAATGAGATTTCACACTCACTGGGCTCTGACAAATGCAGACAATAATAAACTGCTGGTGTAAATGTAAAATGAAGCAGCCACTTTGAGAAACCGTTCTTTAAAAGGTTTAACATGGAGTTACCATATAATCCTAGGTATGTGCCCCAAAGAAATGAAAACATATGTCTACCCAAAAGCCTGTAGATGAATGTTCATAGAAACATTACTCACAATAAACAAAATGTGGAAATAACCAAAATGATAAATATCAACTGTGGTCTACCCATTCAAAGAAATATTACTTAGTCATAAAAAGGAATGAAGTACTGATATATGCTACATAACATGAATGCACCTTAAAAACATTATGCTAAGTGAAAGAAACCAACTGGAAACACCCCACCTTATAAGATTCCATTTACATGAAATGGCAGGCAAATCTATAGAAACAGCAGATTAGTGGTTGTCAGGGACTGAGCAGGGGCAAAGGGAGTCACTGCTAATGGGCATTGACTTTCTCTGGAGTGATGAGAATTAGATTATTATGATGGTTGCACAACCTTGTGAACATACTAAAGCCACTGAGTTGTACACTTTAAATTGGCCTGAATTTTGGTGGTATAGAAATTTATTCACAAAGCTGTTTAAAAAAAAAAAATGAGAAGTATCCAGTCTCTCAGCACCTTGGTTATTCTTTAAGGAACCAGTCCCATCTTGTCTTTTTCTCAGCTGGTTCCCATTCTCCATAACTCGTTCCATATTCACTTTGTAGCCTTCAATCCTGGCACTCCTAAGAGAGGCCCAAGCTACCTTGAGCCTAGGACTGGCTGTGTCTGATCAAAGCTAGTTGAGTTCAAAAATCATGGGTCAGGACTCTCCTCACCCTTCAAAACACTCAGAGTGTGTTTGCTGCTTATGCTCAATTATTTTCTATCTTTTCCATGTGTTTTCATGTGAAAACACATATGATATGTAGGATATTGTATTTTTTCTTAATTATGTTTATTCTTATTGGTATTTTATACCAGCCTGAGGCATATGTCAGGCAGGTAATAGTATCTAGTAGTCTAGTCTGAGGGTGGGATTTATTCAGAGCCTTATCCTACATGGTAAAGAGGTAATATGCAAATTGACCATCACTCCAACACACAAGATGGCCCTCTCCATGTGGATACAAGATGACTACCACAAGATGGCCAGCAAGGGAGGGCAATTGTGGGCAATCAGGCCTGCAGGAGAGGGAAATTGGGGAGGGACAAGGCCTGCAGGGGAGGGCAGTTGGGGGAAACCAAGCCTGCAGGGGAGGGCAATTGGGGGTGACAATGATAGCAGGGGAGGGCAGTTAGGGATGACCAGGCCTTTAGGGGAGGGCAGTTGGGGGTGACCAAGTCTTTAGGGGAAGGGTGGGCAGTTAGGAGTGACCAGGTCAGAAAAGAAGGGCAGTTGGGGGTGACCAGGCCTGCAGGAAAGGACAGTTAGGGGTGACCAGGTTGGCAGGGGAGGGAAGTTAGGGGCAATCAGGCTGGCAGGGGAATGGTTTAGGGGATGATCAGGCTAGCAGGCAGAAGTGGTCAGGGGCAATCAGGCAGGCAGGCAGTTGGGAGCCAGCAGTCCTAGATTGTGAGAGGGATGTCCAACTGCCTGTTTAGGCCAGATCCCAGTAGAATTGGTCCTAAACTGGCAGTTGGATATTCCTGGAGGGGTCCCAGATTGGAGAGGGTGCAGGCTGGGCTATGGAACACCACACCATGCACAAATTTTGTGCACTGGGCCTCTAATAAGTTATAAAGCCTGGACCCAGGCCCAAGGGTCTACTTCCTAACTTATTCTGCCCACTGTCTCGCTTTTGAATGGTTCATCTTAATCTTTGATTAAAAATCAGCTTTGACAATTGGAGCAGTATTCATTCTACCTATTAGGCTCCTGGTGACACACCGGGTTCCATTTTCTATATTAATCACCTATCAAACTACACCAAGTGGAATGCCTAAGGATGTCAGGCCTGAGTTTAATTCACATGTTTTCAGCAACTTCTGCTTCTTCTCTTTCACCACGTTAGCTCTAAAGCTTCTGAAGCAAGGAACGCAAAGGCATAGCTACCTGCTTAAAGAGGAAGAGATCAGTACCTAGTTCAGCCTGTCCCTAATATCTCAGACATCACTGAAATTGTTGCTAGTTACAACGTACTTAGAACAGTTCCCGGCATTTAACTGTAGTAAGTCAATTGCTTTCGGTGGGTCCTTCTGGGTGGGTGAGCATGGGATTGCTTACCTTCTGCCTTTGCTCTAGACACCTTCAGTTCCCACTGATGGGGAGCGTAGCCCAGCTTCAGGGGCAAATACTGTGACTGAGAGCAAATCATTCCCTGGTCCAGCCACAAGAAGGATGGTTTTCTGTTTCAGATTTGTAAATGCTTTCGGTGGGAGCTTCAATGCCACAGTGGATGGGATCCTATACGAGAATATTACCAGTAACAACGTCAGCAAGTATATGTTTTTCTCTTACGGCACGTAAGTACCTATACTGAATATTTTGTTTTAAAATGTATGGGTTCTAAGTCTCATTCTTTAAACAGTATGTTGAAACTTTTAATAAACAGAATGTAACCTATATTATTCTTTCTTTCCATAGAAAAGACATCATGCTAAGCTCAGCAGAGATTCCAGGACACTGCAATAAGTTTTTTACATCCTTAAACTTTGGATTCGGCAGTGCATATACCTATGTGATCACCAGGGTTAGTAGGCCATTCCATCAAGCCAGAAGTGCTACTTAAACTGTCTTCATCTGAGTCTCAAAGACATTTAGGACATAGGCATGTTTTAACCAGAGTAATATTAGGATCTCTATTTTTAAATGGGAATTAATCAAGTTTACCACCAAGTTTTTAACTTGCCATTGACTCAAGTTCACTGTTAGAAAAACATTGAGCAGACTGACTTACTCTCACCAAAACTTCACTTTAAATTTGTATCTATCTATCATCTATCTATCTATCTATCTATCTATCTATCTATCTATCTATCTTTGACCAGTATTTGATGCTCTCAGTGCACAGAGATGGCAATCTTTGAAACAAAGCTGACTCCCAATCTACTCTCTTATTTAAAAGGAATACACTAGGGAATATATTTTCAAATCCCACCATAGCTATCTCATCATAAGTACAAATTGCAATGCTACATATTTACATTGAAAATGTGTACTTACTTGCCCTAGCCTTTTTTGCCCAGTGGTTAGAGCACTGGCCTCAGACAGAAGGGTCTCGGGTTCAATTTCAGTCAAGGGCATGTACCCTACCCCTGTTGTAAGTTTGATCCCCGAGCATGTAAGAGGCAACCAATCGATGTGTCTCTCACATCAATGTTTCTTTCTCTCTGTCTTTCCCCCTCCCTTCCACTCTCTCTAAAATTCAATGGGAGCCGAAGCCTGTTTGGCTCAGTAGTAGAGCGTCGGGCTATGGACTGAAAGGTCCCGGGTTTGATTCCAGTCAAGGGCATGTACATTGGTTGCAGGCACATCCCCAGTAGGGGGTGTGCAAGAGGCTGCTGGTTGATGTTTCTCTCTCATTGATGTTTCTAACTCTCTCTCCCTCTCCCTTCCTCTCTGTAAAAAAATCAATAAAATATATTTTAAAAAATAAAATAGAATTCAATGGGGAAAAAATATCTTCAGGTGAGTATTAGTAAGTAAATATAGATTAAAAAATATAGATAGAGAGATATATATATAAAAATTTAAAGAAAAGAAAATGTGTACTTGGTAAATCATTTGACGTAACTCTGGAGGTCAAAACTTAATTTTCCAATTTGAGCAAATTTTACTTAAGCAACTAATCTTGATTTTTATTTCTTTTTCTCACTTTTGCCTTATTGGTTTAGAGAGATGGATGCCCTATACTGAATATTTTTGAAGATATTGCTCCCAACACTATTAACATGGCCCTGCAAGTCCCACAGTATTTCCTCATAACCTGCGGCGAGGTGGTTTTCTCTGTCACCGGACTGGAGTTCTCATACTCTCAGGTTTCTTGTTCATTTTTTTACCACCCTTCCTCTACCCTGCCTTCAAAACACTGCTGGGACTTCATTTAAATCTGTGTTAGCTGTAGAGTTATAGTTCAGAAGAGCTCTAGAAATCATTATGGGATATCCCACCAAACCAGGTTTTTGAAGTCACCATGCCTTGCCTTTATTGACTGAGAGCATTACTGTTTAGCTTTGTGAGTGTGTATATCATCTGTGTCTATATTCCCGCAGTCACACTTAGCGGTTTAAAGACCTAAGTAGGAAAAACTATATAACACGGTCACCAGGGTCGTGAGAGTCGGTGGGCTCTTCTTTCTGAGACGAACAAATGGCATCAATGGTTCCTGGAGGTGCTCACTTCCTGGCCTATGTCCTCATTATCTTATGGTTCAGTCATGGTCTCTTTGTAGCTCCCAGTCAACACACAGATTAGGGCCTAGCTTTTAAACATTAAAAAACAAACAAACATTGCTTAGTGTGTATTACCTTAATGAGGCAATGTTTGTCAATACCTGACTCAGAGCTTAATTTCTGAATGATTTTATCAAAGCTACAGTTATAGTCAGTGTATGCCCATCATATCTACCATGTTTCCCCGAAAATAAGACGTCCTCCGAAAATAAGACCTAGCACATGGAAAGATAAGACATCCCCTGAAAATAAGGCCTAGCGCAACTTTGGGAGAAAAAAATTAATATAAGACACTGTCTTATTTTCGGGGAAACAGGGTAGTACCTTCAAGTTTTGCAGTAAAACTTGTTAATATGAGCTGGATGACCCCTTTCTGTGGTGACCTCACAGGAGATGATATAACATAGATGACAGAAGTGAGAAGACAGGCTTTGGTGACATGGCAGAGAAGCTCACGGGAGGGTAAACTCACCGCCCATAGTGCAGCTGCCATGGGGGAAGGCAGGGGAGCGAGGGGGGAGGAGAAGGGGCCAGAAGGTGGCTGTATGGCTTTGCCTGGAAGCCCTTCTGTAAAAATAGGATCCGTTCACCTGCAGCTTTGTCTGTCTAACTAGGATGGCAACTTTGCAAGCACGTGTAGAGTGAAAAACAAGGGTTCCTTGTATGTTCGTGCCACTTGAAGATTTGGGGTATCCTGCTACCCAAGTAGTTATCCCTTTTACATTCAAACCAGCCTGACCCTTAACGCGCATTTTTAGGGTGGCTGCTTACGTAAAGGAATCACTGGCTGTGTTCTCGTTGCTGAGGTTGAGATCCAGATTGGCATTCTCTTTGCTCTGCTTCCGCAGGCTCCTTCCAACATGAAGTCGGTGCTGCAAGCAGGGTGGCTGCTGACAGTGGCTGTGGGCAACATCATCGTGCTCATCGTGGCAGGAGCAGGCCAGATCAAGCAACAGGTAGGGGTGGGAGAGGAGAGCTGCCTTTGTCTCATCTGTCTGTGATCCTCAGGCTGACCCTTCCCAGCCATCTCCATATACATGGTCATCCCAGGCAGTGGCTGAATAAAACCGCCAGACCGGCCAGATGGGGCGGTTACCAAATGATCTTATGGCCAAGTATGTGCTGATTCTTCTCACTTCCACTGGGTGTTATTGAAAAGTAACAACCAAAATAACCAGATTGAGCTAACATACATACACCCTGATGCCATTTGCTATCAAAGAAAAGGTCTTCCCTGGCTTCTGTGAATGCAATGTAATGGCCCCAAACGAGGCATGTTATCCAGAAACTGGCATTATTCCTAAAGTTAAGGCATCCTAAAGGTGGTTGTGATTTCTCCGACTAAAATAAAGTAAGGGTAATCAATAAAGAAAATTTAAAAATAATAAAGTAAGGGCTTTCTATGACACTGGTAAACTCTCTCCTTCAGCACATCAGCATATCCTAAGGGGGTTGTCCCTTCCCCCGCCCCATCAGTTTCCTTACTCCCCCTACCAGGTCGCCTCAGAGCATGCGCTATTGCTGAGTGCTCATAGGCTCAAGGTGTACTGCAAAGGATAGCCTGGGGCTCTTCCCTTCAAACAGTTCAGCATATCCTTTTTCTTTCAAGAGTACTGCCTGGTGTTGCTTTGGTCTCCCAGGGCCCAGCTATGTGCCTGATGAGTTGGGTTTTTCAGAAATTTTCCCTCATCTTCCCAAAGTCTTGGGTTTCTACTTTCCAGTGCAATAAGAAACAATGTAATCTTGATACTTGAGCATTCATGGGAGCTGGCCCTTCTGTATCTGTGGCAATCACTGACCATTCTATATCTATGGCAGAAGCCTACCAATGTTCCCTGACAATCTAATCCATCTAGGCGTAGCAGGAAAATATACATGTGCTCTATTCACTACTATAACTGAGATTGTTTTTGTTTTGGTTTTTTTCCTGCTCCAACTCCAATTCCTTCAAAGTGGGCTGAGTACCTTCTGTTTGCTTCGTTGCTTCTGGCTGTCTGCATCATCTTCGCCATCATGGCTCGATTCTACACGTACATCAATCCAGCAGAAATTGAAGCTTATTTTGATGAGGAAGAAAAAAAGAAGAAGCCAGAAAACTTATATGCCGAAATAGATCCCGCCTCACCGACGGCGCAGACAAAGATGTGAACATCAGGAAGCCAGTGGAGGGTGAATTGGGCCCAGACTACGCCCTGACTTGTGTCTCCAGGTGTCAGGACACTGTGGGATGGCCCCTAAGGGGGGAAGATACCAGCATCATGAACCAAGCCAAGAAAGCGATTTTCTAAGCAGCCCTTGGTGAACCTGAAACTCTGAAATAAGTCTTTTTTTTTTTTTTTTAGAGAAATATTATTTAAAGTACGCATGCATGCACATACACATTTTTACAGCACTGTGAGCATTCCCTGCATTCAACTTTTTTCCTGTCACACAAATGAAGTTATTTTTCCAACTTAATTGTTGGAAAAAATGACCAAGTTCCATATGGTTTGAATTCTAACACTATATGAAAACAATGTTAAACGAGTCCAGAGTCAATGTGAAAGTGAATAGATAGGCTTACAGATGGTATGTAATAAACTAGTATTAACTGATACCTTTTTTTGTTTGGTTTTGTTTGTTTTTTCCAGTCGCTACCTCTTTTTAAATTATGTGTAACTAAAAAACCACTCAGGTAAAAGTCAATAATGATTTTTAGAGTCTCAATGGTATGAAATAAATTCCTGTTCTTAAGAATCAATGTCTGCATGTCTTTGGGTAGAGTAATTCTTAACATGTTTCCTGATTATCAAAGCTGGACACACGTTAAAATTTTATCAGAGGTTGATAAAAGCATGAACAAAAGAAATGCCCATTTTAATACATAAAATGAACATGAAATATGGAGGTTTGTTTCTTCCTGGTTTTATTCTCCCCAGGGATATGAAATTTGTACCTGGTGCATGAAATTCGTGCACAGGTTGGTGCGGGGGAGTCCCTCACCCCGGCCTGCACTCTCTCCAATCTGGGACCCCTCAGGGGATGTCTGACTGCCGGTTTCACAATCAGGGACCACTGGCTCCTAACCACTCACCTATCTGCCTGCCTGATTGCTCCTAACCACTCTGCCTCCCTGGTCACCCCTAATTGCCCTCCTATGCTGGCCTGGTCACCCCTAATTGCTTTGCCCTGCCAGCCTGGTCACCCCTAACCGTCTCTGCCTCGGCCCCTGCCACCATGGCTTTGTCTGTAAGGATGTCCAAAAGCTGTCCCGTCTAATTAGCATATTACCCTTTTATTAGTAGATATATATGTGTGTGTGTGTATATGTGTGTGTGTGTGTGTATTCCTCTTTTATTACTAAAATCTATGTGCATATTTATGTACCATCTCAAAGTGATTTTCTCAGTACTAAAGCACTTTTCTGCTTAAATAAAAATTCTTCTAACCCACATGTGTCAAACACAAGGCCTGCAGGCCAAATCCGTCCCGCCAGGCCTTGCAATGTGGCCCGCACCGCGCTGTCATCACTGCACTCCGCTGCGTTTCCATCACAATGACAGTTTATGACTGTTCAGTAAACCATTCGGCCTGCGATTTAGGCTGGATTTTAGATTTTGGCCCCTTCTCTGATTGAGTTCGACACCCCTATTCTAACCCATTATAAACACTGAATGCCTAATTCATTCTATAGATACATTTCATTTAACCATTCCCAGGTTTCAGATCCAAAACAAGTCTACATTAGCACTCATAAAAACAAGCCACTGTTCTTAGACCTGGCTCCTGGACTGGCAGGAAGGGCCCATGCTGGAACTCTGAGGTGTTTCATGCATATGCTTGTCATTGCACTGTGGACACGGAATGAAGCTGGTGGGGAAAGAACTGGGGGGACTCAAAATCCAGAGAGAAATGCACATGAGATGACCACAACTCACTGAAGACCTTCTTTACCCTTAGTATCCAGTGTTCATCCCTTCCCTGGGGCCCATGAGGCTCCTTTTTCTCTGGACATAGCTCTCTGCTCTCCGTTCACGTTGATCTAACCAACCGTGAGTTTCCTCAAGTTCCTGGAATGCATCAGGTTCTCACTTCCAGGTCAAAAGCTAAAGAAAAATCAAATCTTGAGACACTTATTCTCTACCTACTGCTCACTCAACCTCTCCGTCCGGCTCGGTCTTCTTCATTTTCAGGATTCAAGCTACTTCCTCCATCCAAGAGTTTCCCTGCCCCCGCTCCCGTGTCGTGTCTCCTTTGAGGTCTCTCCCAGCACACACCCTCACTGTATTGTAACTATCTAGCTTTCCACAGACGGAAGCTGTCTGCATGCACCAAGTTCTGCTTCCATTCTCTAGAACACAGTGGGCCTCTACGTGTTAAATAGATGTGAACCTCGGGCTGGAGGAGTGAGATGGAAGAGATGAAGAACTTAACCTTCAGTAGTGCTTTGAATGAGCCTAATTAATGAGGTCTAGTGTGAAAGACTAGGTACCAGTGTACAGGACGGCTAATGTTGCCTCTCTGATGATTTCTACTCTCTAACTTCCATTGTATGCCTTTGAGGGGGGAAGCTAACAGTGATAAGCATTCAATTTTCATTACTTCCCTTGTCAGTAATCAAAAGATATGCTGCTTCTAACTCTTCTTGCAGCCAAAAGATATGCTGCTTCTAACTCTTCTTGCAGCCTCAGGGTAACTTTGGGCACCTCTGGACCTCTTAGATCTCATTTTCTTCAATGAAACAGAGAGAACTCTAGATGATCTGAGTTTCAAAAGTCCTTTGAGGGTGTCTGGCACACAATGGACTTCCAAATATTTGAATGAAGACCTGCCCCTGTATGGACTCTGATGTTAACACTATAGAGTGGTTTGCATATGGATGGAAATGACACCTACCTCATCATAAGAGGCCTTTTTAAAAAAATATATTTTATTGATTTTTTACAGAGAGGAAGAGAGAGGGATAGAGAGTTAGAAACATCGATGAGAGAGAATCATTGATTAGCTTCCTCTTGCACACCCCCTACTGGGTATGTGCCAGCAACCAAGGTATATGCCCTTGACCGGAATCAAACCTGGGACCTTTCAGTCCACAGGCTGACGCTCTATCCACTGAACCAAACAGGTTTTGACCATCACAATAGGCCTTTAAACGGTATGATAAAGGCATGGAGGAGAACTGGGGCACTTGGGTCATGAGGGTAGAGTTTTCAGAGTAATCTTCTCTCTGGCTATTATTTTACCACTTCCAAGTATAATTAAGACTGATGGGTGCCAATATGGGTGTTCTAGATGTGAGATATAAGACAATGGCCAATGTCATGGGATAGGGGTGGCAGAGGGGATGCGTGAGGCCAGGCCAATAACTTCTGGTCTTCTTTCCTTTTCTTCAGCCCCCATTTTTTTTGTGTGTTTGATGCCTTTCTCTAAGTTCTGGGCTGATCAGTGTGTAACAAAAATAGCACATTGAAAGACTGGCTGACGGTTGAAATACAATTCAACATGGGTTGGAGAGAATGGAAATGCTTTCACTGAAAATAGCAGGGCTTCATTGCTTATTCCAAAGAGCCAGAACATTGTGAGAAGTGTTTAATAATGTTCATATGAGTCGTTTTCATATCAACCTGTTCTTGTTTTTTTGTTGTTGTTTTTTTAATATATTTTATTGATTTTTTTTACAGAGAAGAAGGGAGAGAGATAGAGAGCTAGAAACGTCGATGAGAGAGAAACATCGACCAGCTGCCTCCTGCACACCCCCTACCGGGGATGTGCCCATAACCAATGTACATGCCCTTGACCGGAATCGAACCTTGGACCCTACAGTCTGCAGACCGACGCTCTACCACTGAGCCAAACCAGCTTTGGCCAACCTGTTCTTGTTTTGATTCTACATTTCTCTAGGTAAGTTTTTTTATTTTATTTTGTGGATGTTCCTTAGCTCTTTCTGGGTAATAAAATATTTGTTTTGCAGTCTATCTTAGACTATAAAATGATTTTATTAAGTGTATGTTCAAGTTTTATTTTTGTTGACATTTTAGCCATCAATGTTGTCATGCATTCTGGGATATTGGTTTTTTGTTTGTTTGTTTTGCTTTTGCAGTTTCATTTTGTAAATGACAAACAATAGTAGTTAACACTTGGACACTGAGTATGTGTAGATGGCATGTTGCACACTCTGTTTACCAGCATATAACGCTTGTAACAGCTCTGTAATATAGATCACTATCATTATTATTATCCCCATTCCACAGAGGAGAGAGCAGGCACAGAGAAACCAAGTACTAGCATCTGGCTCCTGAGCCCAGGCTGCCAGTCACTACACAAACCCGCCTCTCTATGCCAATGTTTAATTGCCAGTGTGAATTAACCCATTGTATCCTTTTACACTAAGGATACAATTCAACATGGGTTGGAGAGAATGGAAATGCTTTCACTGAAAATAGCAGGGCTTACCCCTGTTTTAAAGAGATGAAAACTGAGAAATATCTAGCTAAAGCCATATACCTGGTAGTTGGCTGAGACAGAATTTGAACCTAAGCACATCTGAGCAGAAAGGCCTGTCTCTTAACCACCAGGCTAAGAGGCAGGCCTTTCACACAGTGAAAGGCAAACATGCGATGGTGAGAGTGTTGTAAAGGGGCCAAGAGCAAAACGGATGCTGGAGGCCTCAGAGAGGCGATGGTCCACCTGAAACCCAGGGTGGACACCCCAGGGCTGGCCTAGAAGAACAAGAGGGGCTGTGTGTAGTGAGGAGAGGCTGGTGAGGCCTGCTCTCAAAGGATTAAACAGAAAATATTCAACACATTTACCACCTTAGAAGGAGCCAGGGCCCCCTGTAAGGACCTCACAGTGTCCTGACAATGCTGGAGCCCCACCCCCACGGGTCTGAGGTTTGCACACCCCCCCGCTGCCAGTGGGAGTCCCAATGCTGGCTCCTTAAAGGCTGAGGTGATTCGCTCTGAAGCCTGCCATGCAGAGGCCAGTGTCTCACCATGCGGGGCAGCTGGCTTGAGGGGCAGGGGTGGGTGTGCGGAGGTGTGGCCCTGGCAGTGCAGGAGAAGAAAGGAGGCAGGAAGTCACCACACAGGACTGCGGAGAAGTGCGGGCCCTATTGTTTTGTTTTTAATTGTGGTGAAATATACATAACAAAATGGACCATGTAGCCATTTTTTTCAGTGTGCAGTTCGGTGGCATCAAGAGCCTTCATGTTGCTAGGCAACCATCGCCTCCATCCATCTCCAGAACTGTTTTCATCTTGCAAACCTGAAACTTCATACCAACACCCCATTCCCTGTGCACACACACACCCCTGCCCCCGGCCCTCGGGGCCTCCAGAGAAACAAGAAGCATTTCTCCTTCCAGTTGCTGTCAGAGGGAGCCCTGTGCGTCAGGGGCCCCACCTCCAGCCTGATCAAAGGCAATAAAAGGAGAGAGCCCAGGCCTCTCGGGGCCCTGAGGTATGTCGATAAGGACCCAGGTTTACTCCACCCGCTGCGGTGTGACCAGGATGGCTGTCCATCTCGTTTCCTGTATTCCACTAACCTCTGGCGATTAAAGCCACCAGAGGATTTATGGATGTCACATCTGGCTTGTTCTAAGGAGACTTGCAGCATCCACACATGTGTTTAAAGACTCCAAAGGAACGCGGGTCAGATCTGCTAGGTGGTGACCCTGGAACAAAGAGGCTTGTACCTTTAAGGCTGAATGTTCTGGAGGCCAGTGTGGGGCCCTAAGAGCTTCCTACTTGTGGGGGAGGC